ATGGTGGTGCCGCTGCTGGTGGTGCTGCTGGTGGTACTGCTGTTGGTGCTGGTGGTGTATGCTGCTGCTTTGGTGGTGCTGCCTTTGCTGGTGCTGCTGCTGCTGATGGTGGTGCCGCTGCTGTTGATGCTGGTGTTGCTGCTGCTGGTGCTGATGGTGATGCCACCGCTGTTGATGCTGGTGCTGTTGGTGCTGGTGGTGCATGCTGCTGCTGTTGGTGGTGCTGCCTTTGCTGATGCTGCTGCTAATGGTGGTGCCACTGCTGTTGGTACTGCTGCTGGTGCTGATGGTGGTGCCGCCGCTGTTGATGCTGGTGCTGGTGGTGCTGCTTGGTGCTGCTGGTGCTGGTGGTACTGCTGCTGGTGCTGGTGGTGCATGCTGGTGCTGTTGGTGGTGCTGCCTTTGCTGGTGCTGCTGCTGATGGTGTTGCTGCTGCTGTTGATGCTGGTGTTGATGCTGCTGCTGGTGCTGATGGTGGTGCCGCCGCTGTTGATGCTGGTGCTGGTAGTGCATGCTGTTGCTGTTGGTGGTGCTGTCTTTGCTGGTGCTGCTGCTGATGGTGGTGCTGCCTTTGCTTGTGGTGCTGCTGGTGCTGGTGCCGCCGCTGTTGATGCTGCTGCTGGTGGTGCTGCTGCTGTTGATGATGTTGGTGTTGTTATTGCCGTATTTGCTGTTGGTGTGGCTGGCATTGTTGATGTTGCTGCGTTTTTACCACTGTTCTTGCCACCGCATCTTCCAGTGTTGATTTTATAATATCAGTTAAACGTTGAAGTAACCACACCTTTGCATTCTCTTTTTATGCGCTTGAAAAATATGACAATATGCAAAACTTGGCTTTTGTGCAATGTAACTGTACACTGTTCTGCCCGCTCTCATGGTCAAAGGAATTTTAGGGAACTCGGCGAGGGAAATGAACGCTTCCTTAATTGAGACTAGATTCAGTCTGTGCTCCCATTATATGCAGACAAGGCCAATTATTCGCTATGATCGTTCACCTGTCGGTAGAGGTATGTTTTTCTTGGAAGATGGAGATTGGAAGAACATCCGGAACACTCTGACGCCGTCTTTCACTGCTGCTAAGATGAAACAAGTAAAGTAAATCATCGCTTTACTCTTCATTGGAGGAAATATTCTAGGAGTAGTTCTGGGCCGCATTTGTTTCATGCTAGTTTCCTGGTATATCGAAAGCAGACTAGTGATATTAAAGCTGCTTCGGTAGCGGACTTTGAATGTGGATATTTGGAATTTTGACTTTATCGATTTTCTGTTGCTAGTACTTTTTTATTTCAGTACAAGATTGCCAAAGGCAAATATTTCGCTCACAATTTTCCGAGAGTTACATTTTTAGTTCATTAGTAGACAAACGTAAAGCTTTCTACAAATTGTGTGCCTGAAGTGACGTCATGACACCGGTTCGCCCTTAATTATAGAATGTATAGGACATTTAAAATCAGAAAAAGGCACGTTTTAATAAGGAGTTAAAACCAAAAAGGATGACATAGTTTCGTTTCCCACAGATGCCACCGGTGATCAACGAGTGTTGTGATACTCTAATCACAAGTATTAGTGAGGCACGAACGGGAGGCAAGGCAGTCGACTGCAAAGCGTAAGTTGGACGGAGTCCTCGCGCTCACTTTACGGAAGAGTCACTCAAGATAATCCAAGACATCACTCTACTTGTGGTTTTCAGAAAAGGGCATCACTGTGATCGTCTTAAAGAGCAACTCTAAGGGTATTAATCATCCTCTTAAATGTGGTTTGGCAAAAGGGACCTTAGTTGGATTTCGTCCGACGCTGTTATCCCCGCTACCTTTTTCACAATCGTGTTCCAAACTTGTGACAGAAGTCTTCCAAACCTTTCTCGAGGGACGTCCACGAAATAAGTTATAGTATCTGTTAACTAGATGTGTTTACCATTTTAGGCTGTTCGGTGCCTTCACTATGGATGTCATTGCGTGTTGTGCATTCGGTCTGAATGTGGACTCACAGAAGGACAAGGATGATCCCTTTGTGCAGAATGCTAAGATTCTTCTTGACGCTGGACGCTTCACAAAGCCTTTTGCTATACTCATTTGTGAGTAGTCTGGTTACCTTAAACCCGCTGTGACATTATCATAACGGTGATTTGACGCAACAGCGTTCCCATTATTGAAAATTTTTCAGAACGTCAACGTTGATTGTACAGTGCTAGTCGCTTTTTTTTTCCTTCTTTCTTTCTTTCTTTTTTCTTTTGACAAAAACGTTTCCGGGAGCTAGCACCCCGAGGACCTATAGCCTATTCCGTTTTACCTACTGGTGATTTAGGGTTCCAATGAAGCCACGAATTATTTCAAGTATGTTTAAAAGTATTGTTCATGTCTGTCAAAATGAAGCAGTCATTTTTTTCCTTTGAATTCAGTTAACATTAAGATAAATTCAGTTGTTCTGTTAAAATCACAGAAATTGAGAAGTGACATTTGATAATCAAAGAGGTTGTCTTATTTCACAGCCATTTTTCCATTTTTGGCCCGCTTGTTTGGCTTTTTGGGAGCGGAGATGGCTTTCGACAAGAAGGCTACCAAGTTTTTCCAGGACGTTACAGAGGCTACATGTAAATTGCGTAAAGAGGAAGGGGCAACAGCCCTTAAAGTAAGTCACAAACGGGGAATCAGTGTGGCTTTTATCTGCTGAAAACGAGCTTAGGAATGATTTTGTTCCCATGGTGGGCTTGTCTTCAGTTTAAGGAAAACGAAACCAACAAAATGAAAATTTTACAAACCAAACAAATACAATGTACGTCATTCGACCGAACTTATTCTAAACGTTGTGAAGTATTGGAGAAATTGCCCCGGAATTCGACAGAGTAGAAAAAAGACAGACTTTTTGTTAAATTTTAAATCATCAACCAATATACCAAGTCAACGAGTACAGTATCTCACAGCCCACCTTTCTCCTCTAGGAGCGCATCGACCTACTTCAGCTGATGCTGAACGCCCACAATGACCCTGATACTGATCTGGAAGACACGCCCATCGCAGAGAACGGCTTGGAAGGGGGCATGGCCCAACGCAAGCCCCTGTCAACTGAGGATATAATGGCTCAGGTGATTATGGCTCAGAATGAATATCGATGTGACGACGTGGTTGAATAGCTAAGAAGCAAAGCGGCACGGCATGGATCCTCTGCATTCACCCACAATCCTTTGCCGTCGACCATATTTGCAGCCCTATACAAAAGGATATTCTTGGTACGGCAGGCAAAGTGCCCATCGATTGACGAAATTAAATTTTCTAGTGGTGGGTTTCGTTAGTTTGTTTGTACTGACTGAATTGTATTTGAATCTCACGGCGTGTAATATCACAGGCAAATTTGTGTTTCAATCATAATGCCCCGACAAATTAAGATAGACAACACGATCAGTAGTCATGCATGGTGCATATTTGTAAATTTTCAGGGGGTTCAGTTTTTCCTGGCTGGGTACGAGACAACCAATACGCTTCTGACTTTCACCGCTTACCTGCTGGCTACCAACCAACACGTGCAGGAAAAGCTACACGCTGAAATTGACAACCTCGCTCCCACGAGAGACAACCTTGGCTATGACGTCATCGCCAAGATGGAGTATCTGGATATGGTGATCAGTGAATCACTGCGCATGTATCCTCCAGTAATCTTGTAAGAATGAGAAACTTTGAAATCAGCCGAAGCTATTGTAGGCATCTTTTGTGTGATTACGCCCATTACCACAGGGCCCGTGTCTGGCTTTTCCTCTAACAGTCGTAATGGTTATACGTTTAGTTTAAAGACACCTTGGTATACACTGCAAATTTTAGTTTCAATTTCGATTTGGGCGAAAATTAGATATTTTAGTCTCAACACAACTAGTGTCAGAAAAAAATTCCACCTGTGACACCAATTTTAATTGATTTTCTTCTTAGCCTTGAGCGCTTGTGCAACGAAACTGTGAGCTGTGATGGCTTTGTCATTGAAAAGGGTGTTACTCTGGTCGTACCCGTCTGGAGTCTTCATTATGAAGAAGAATACTGGAAAAACCCGACCAAATTTGATCCCGAAAGGTAAAGAAAATGAACAAGGAAAATGCAAAATTCAAAAGTGCCTTGACAGACTGATACTGCTTCGAGACAGGAACTGGTTTGGAGCTAAATTCTTCAGCTTCGTGATAACTGATGTAAACTGTTGACGAGTTCAGATGTTGATTGCTCGTTTTCTTTAAAGGGAATATATACCTTCCGATTTTTTTACCTTGCGTTTAGTGCAACAGCGACTTAATAGCATTAAACTCTTCCCAATCGAAATGTAACGAAATGAAGGAACATTTTCCAGTGTGCTTCAGAGATTAATGTCTGCCATGTTTGCAATTCATTTGTAACAGAGTTACTACCCCACTTGATTGTCATTATTTTATAATCATAGATTCAGCCCTGAGAACAAGGCAACAGTCCAGCCATTCACCTATCTACCATTTGGCTTCGGACCACGGATCTGTTTTGGTATGCGCTTTGCCTTGCTGGAAGGCAAGATGGCGCTGGTACGTGTGATGCAACAGTATCGCTTTGATGTCAGCTCGGAAACCGAGGTAAGACGAGAAAGAAACGATCCTGTTTTCAACATTTTCAGCTTTGGTAAAGTCATCATTCTCAGCTCAGAGAAGTCAAAACAATTTCCAAGGCGGTTGATATAAATGAAACGTTAGGTTTTCCCTCTCTCGTTTCCAGATTCCAGTTCCTCTGGGTAAGGGCCTGCTCCTTGCTCCTGCAAAACTGATGTTGAACGTCTTCCCGAGAAACTAGCTCTCAAATATCTCTGGCCTGAGATGATTTACAATCCCTGAATATGAAATCTCAATCACCAGATTGCTATTCACATGGGCTTTCCATTTTTGAAGACATTATTGTACAAATGCTAAATGCTTCTGCAGTTTAGTACCCACGTTTACTATCAAATCGCTGTTATGTATTTTAAAACGTTAATGGAATGGATATCATGTGCTAACATAATGTCCATTCCATTACCGTTTTAAGAAAACGAACCCTCTACCAAGTTTAATACTCACCTGATGTTAAGCTTTCCTTTTGTTAAGCAAGGGACACTTAATTTACACCACATCATCTTTAAAAGCTGTAGATATGACAGCCACTCTTGAATGGTTAATGCACCTGAGTTACGAATGAAAATTTGCATGGTTTCATGTGTAAGGTATAGGAATGAAAAGAAAGAAATAAAATCAGCATACGTAGGTTATTATTTCATTTTCCCCAATTAATTATGGATTAGTGACGATTAGTAAAAACACAAACTTAGTTAAGATATTCGCTCAGATTTGACTTTTCCGTCACAATACTCGTAGGAGGCTGCGACTTAATCACTTAGCATTCGTACCCCTCACCATCGGCTTAATCAATATAAATGAATCGAAGCCTTACTATAAAACCGGTAGAACCAACGGAAACACAATTGTAATGCCTGTAAGTAGGTTGCAATTCATAGTGTTAAAGAAGTACACGCAGTTTTAGTAACATGAAAGCAGTTTGTTCTAGAGTCACTTGTAGCAGAGTAATGTTATTCATTCATCGCATGAATAATATGATTTTGCCCTTCAACATGCATGTTTATGGCTTTTGTTGTCAAGTTTACGTAAAGATTGGTGTAATTTTGTTTTGTTTTTGTTTTGTCTTTGACTGCGATAAATGTCACGGATATTTCGTAATTACTTTGCTTCAAAACAAATTTAACATTGTTTCATTTCAGGAATTCATTAAAAGATGAATTAGACATAACCTACCGCATTATTACTGACGAAAACGTACCGTCAAAATATTCTTTTTAACGGAGACTTTTGACGTTTTCGTTTAAATTGTTATGTCATTACTTTCTTAAGTTCGTTATTTCATTTCAAAATGTGTTAGAATGCATTCAAGTTGCAGTAGAACACCATGATCAGAATTCATATGTTTTAGGCAGTAAACAGACTTTATGAGTTCGTTAAAAACAATATCCTTCGACTTTAAGGTATGGATTAAAATTTATTCCTGGGAAATTTAATAAACCCTGCAGGACTTTATTTTTGGTCTATTTAACCACATGCCAAGTTCATTGTACACAATCGAACCGCTTACCCACATTGATATGGCTGCCAAGGTAAACAAGGCAAACAATCACACCGCGTGACTGTAGTTCAAAGAACTTTCTGACCAATTTGTTTTTAATGCACATGTTGGCTAGGTGGCGCACTAACCATTTCTGTCGAGGGAGCGGTGGCGTCAGTGCAGGGTTCTAATTTACGGGGGGAGAGTTGGAGGCAAATTTTCTGGAGGCGGTTGCTCCGGTATCAAGTGGGCTGCGGGAGCAACGGGGCTTGCATATGAGAGCTTCAAGATGGGCTGCTCACCTACCCGTGAACCCGGTCCCCTTTTTCCTTATTGAGACCATGGAGAGAGTTGATTGAAGTGTAATCAGACAAATCTGACATCACAGCCCTACTTAAAGATGTTAAATCAAATTCTTTCAAAAGCCATAAAAATATATAAGGTGGGTTATTGATCAGTTTGGTAATTGCCCGTTTAGATAGATGATCAGATTTATGAAGGTAAGTTCGGGTCATGCATATGTCCGAAGTCTCTTTGGCAAAAACAAAGAAACGGAAAAGCAGAATCAATGACAATGACAAGGTACCGACGCCTTTGAATGATGGATATTAATGAGACACTTTACGCCTTATCAACGTTGTGATACTACTGTTAGGTGCGTGCCATGTGACCCCCCTGATTGACAGGAAACCCTTCAAAGAACCCAAAGCACGTAGCTCATGGCGCTCATTTTTTCGTTGATAGAAAGGGTCCGTAAATCCATTTTTTTTACTGTTCTGAGAGGAAAATTGTGTGTTGTTCGTGGTGTCCTGTTTAGATCTTCCCGAAATTTATTTATGCTTCTACACTTTGGCATTTTACAAGGTCAGTCGATGAAAAATTCGGCGCAATATCGTCGTCTGCTCGCACGGAAAACCGTTGTCTGTTTGAAAATGAAGTGTGCATGCGCGTTTGTGATGAACGTTGTCTCTACGGGGCATGAACATACGTGAAAGGTCGTCTCACCCGGTTTTCGTACAAGGATATGTCGTCAACTTAGGCAGCAACGAAAGGTTGTTCACCTCGCCGTTGATCATACCCAACCCAGTAACAAAGTGCACGGTAATCATATCGACCCGATGAATAGCAATTCAGTGGAGTATTTATGTCCAAAGTTAAGTCGGTTAGAGTTCGTCATAAGATAATATTGTCAAATGGAACAAACTGCTCCACTCGATATTTGTTCAAACACTGGCTTTCAGGTAAACAAAAGAGTTCAGGAGACCCTGTATGCAGTCACGCCAACTTAAAATATGCACCCGACGACAAGGTATCTTTTGGTGAAGATTAAACGGTTCTGTGACATCATCTGAAAACTGTACAGGAGCTCGCAGGTATAAAAATGAGACCCAACATTTTCCGAGTCTAGTTTTCTGATTGATCGCCAGCTTGGTGTGAGCTAAGGCTGAACATGGAGCTCTTTGGATTTGAACTGTCCACGACGTGGGTCCTCGTCGCTTGCGTGGTTCTCATGTTGGCATGGTAGGTACTCAGACTTTGATAACGAGCTCTACTCCGAAGATGGTCGTTGCCTGGGATGAAACCGCAACAGAAGTAACCCCCTTCACCATGCAGCTTCAGGCATTAAGGGGGGGGCAGAGTATTAGCTAGGGGTGGTCACATCACAGAGAACATGGCAGTTGCCCCAGTTTCTCCCTTCAGTGGCGTAACTAGGGGTAAATTTCCCGGGGGGGGGACACCCGGTGGTGCATTTTTTTCAAGGGGGCACCATAAGCAAATATTCTGCAGCTACAACGGAGAGGACTCACCAATTGAAAACGTGGGGGGCCAAAGGGGGCGAGTGCCTCTGCCCCCCCCCCGTTACGCCATTGGCCCCCTCCCCCAGATACTTCAGGTGAATCTGGCCTGACAACTCTTAGGGAATACTGAGGAAATTCAGGTGATTTTAAGTCCACGGGAAATTAATTCCCCTGTACCTCTACTTTTGGGGGTTAACGTAAGATAGTCAGACTTCAGTGTTTAATTTCTGTGCTTGCTCCTGTGCATAGCGTCGGGTATAGGTTAAGTATATGGTTGCTGGTTGCGCTGAGCCTCAAAATGGGGACGATCAACCTGGCGATTTATTCTTGTGATTAATTCCGCTCAGTTGAGCCCCGGGGCGTGTGTTGGCAGTAAAAACCAAAAACTGGTTCGGTTGTTTCTCTTTGGTTAACCGCTTTGCGGGTCTGAGTACTACATAGTCACGGTTAATTCTTCCCCATTTAAAATTACCAAGGACAATCAGAAGAATTACAACCGAAACAATTCGGAATTGTGGTGCGTGCGTTGCGCACTGTGCGGGAGTCGTCGTCACCGCTTACTTCTCTACAGTCCTAGAGTACATGGGTATTCCCGGTGTGCCTCGTTACCCAGGTTTCAAGCCAGAGATGCGTCTGGTTCTTGCGAGACTGTCTAATTCCACTGGAAATGATAGGGTACTGTGAGTTGAGACAATGTTGATAAATAGCTCCTTGACGTCCATTACTTGCCAGGTATGACCGGTGGTGTCATCAGTACTTCCAGAGGCGAGGCATCCCAGTGGCTGGCTACGTTCCTATTTTTGGCAATAGACTGCAATGGTTGAAGGTAAGACGGAAGAGGGACTTGATCATGTTGTGATATGTGACCTTGTGGTTTGTAATTGTCAAAATTGGGGGGTGGCTATCATGGCTTTTGCTGTGGTTAATGGTTCATAAAACCTATGAGGTCACTGGAAAATTTGAAGTAGAAACGTAACGTTTACCTTTAATCGAAATACGCTGACTTGAAGTTTATTTATCTTAAATGGGCGTAAAGTTCTCTGATTATCTTTAAAGAGTGAAAATTCTGTCTATTAAGTTGAACTCGAGAGAAACGTCAATATTTATTTTGTAGTACATATTCGAATTCCGACGGGTTCTTTTGTACTTTATTTTGTGTATTTATTGAATTCTATCCAACATTAAAAAGTGTTTCTGACTGGGTTAAACAAAATGCCACAAAAATATGGAGTGCTGTCTATAAACCAAAGTGTGACTTGTCAACGCAACAGGACAGTGACATTAAACATTTCACCCCATTCCCTTCGTGTACTTTCTCCTTGATGCTTGCAGGGAATATGCCAGACGTTTGCAGGATACCACAAGGAGTGTGGAAAGGTATTTGGGTGCGTATAATTGAAGTTTTCCAGTGAGGGACTCAATTTCCGAAGTGACCGGCTGTGTGCAACATTTTACGCCGCCAACGTGAACTGCACTCTGGCTGCAAACACATCTCAGAGAATTAGAATAAAACACCATATATGAGGCCGAGCCAACTCTTACTTAAACCAACGAAGAAAGTCCCAACAATATCATCTTCATTATTGTCCCAAGTTTGCCAACCAAACATGAGTTGATGACTGAATCCACTTTGTCTAAATGTTTCTTCTTCATAGAGTCTATGACTTCCGACGCCCAATTTTGTTCATCAATGACCCGGAGATTCTCAAGCATATTATGGTGAAGAATTTCTCCAACTTCTACAACCATACGGTAGGGTGTCCTTTGACTTTTAAAATTAAGTTACATTGCGCGCCTCAAACTAAAGCATCGAAAAATCTGCTTTAAAAATCCTGCTTGAAAGACAACGTGGGTGCAGTCCTGTTAGTTACCAAATGAAGAATCCTCAGATTGCACGAGTCTTTGCAATCTTTTGCTCTGCAGTCGAATCCCCTGATTAAGATGGATCCTTCACCAGTCGGTAGAGGCTTGTTCTTCTTGGAAAACGAAGACTGGAAGAACATCCGCAACACGCTGACGCCCTCGTTTACGGCAGCTAAGATGAAATACGTTGAGTATAATCACCGCTTTTTGTTTTGCAACATTCAACATGATGCCACATTTTAATTGGTAATTGCCTCTTTCGTTAAACTCGTCATCATCGTCTTCACCTGATGAGTTTGTTCCAATTTCATCTTCTCACAGATGACTCCGCTAATTAATGGGTGTTCCGACACTCTCCTGAAAAGTATCGACGAGGCACGAAGGGGAGACAAGGCCGTCGACTGCAGAGAGTGAGTCGGACCACGTGTTATCCCCTTTGTGGGCGTGTCCATGGAAGAAAGCATTAGTGAAGATGCAGAATTACATGACAATATTTCTTGTACTCTTAAACAAGGAAACCAGATTGTTTCCTTTTTAATATTAGTGCTTCTTAAAACGTGGATGTCCGCCTGCAGTGATTGTGTCCTCAAATCCAGCCCCACCCCTCTAATATTGAACACAGACAATCGACAAAAAATCGGGGCTAATATTTTGGTGAAAATTCGACTCGTTCCTTACTGCACGGCGAAAAACGAGACGTTTGTTCGCATGTAGAGTTCATCTTATTCCTATGAAAATGAGACGGCGCTTGTGTCTGACCAAACTCGTCGTTCAAAACACCAGCAGTGCGTACTCTGTGTAAAAAAACTCCCAAAATTCTCATTTTATACTTTATTTAGGGTCTTCGGGGGTTTCACCATGGACGTTATTGCGAGTTGTGCCTTCGGCCTGAACGTGGATTCCCAGAAAAACAAGGACGATCCCTTTGTCCAGAATGCGAAGATCCTCTTAAGTGGGAGGGGTTTCAACAGTACCTGGGCCCTACTTGCCTGTGAGTATATACCCTAAACAATCGAAATATAATAGACAGCGCATCTCAACAACTTAGCAACATGAACGTTTAGACAAGCAACAACGACAAAGGTTAGGGATTTAATCTTTTAACCTTTGTTTTTGGGTGCTACACTAGCCTAACTTGTCCTCAGATGATCCGATGTGTATTTGATATTTATGGAAAATGTTTCAGTAAATCATACTTGTCGTCATAGTCGTCTAAATACAGGATATTTACAATAGTGCGCCTCCAAGAGTTTGAAACGCGTTGACCAAGCACAGTCGACCCAATGCGCATTTGGAAATGGTTGACAGATCTCGTGTACTGTGATTAGTCAATGAGTTGCAAACTCTTGGAGGCGCACTATTGTGAATCGCCCGTATTCGTAACTTTGTCAAAAACGGAAATACTTCATGTTCGAGCTAATGGATATAAAGTAACATCGCCGTATTTCATTCAAACGAAAGGCATGAATATGCTGCTTAGTAGGCGTAATACCGGGAATTTACAGATTGTCAGTGTGAGCATTGGTCGTCTTGATCTAAATCGGGTCTCATTGTTTGGCAGCACTTTTCCCATTCTTGGCCCCCTGGTTCGCTCACTTTGGAATCGGCCTCGTTTTCGACCCGAAGAGCGTCAAGTTTTTTCTGGGCGTGACAGAGGCTGCATTCAAGATGCGTAAAGAGGAGGGCGCCACGACCTCAAAAGTAAGTAAACGACAGATAATCTAAACGTTGGGTCAAAATTTCGAGCATTTTTAATTCACCTTTCTTGAACATTTCCATGAACATTTCATTAGGTAAAAAAGAAGAAACACACGAAAATTGAGACGAAAAGTTTTGGTATAGCATCCATAAATGTTCATCTTCCTCCTACCTTAACAGCACATCGATCTGCTTCAGCTGATGCTAAACGCCCACAATGACCCTGACACGGATCCAGAAGACACGCCCATGGCAGAGGACGGCCTACGGACAGGGCGCGTGACCCAACGTAAGCCGCTGTCAACAAGGGATGTTATGGCTCAGGTATTCATCCGACATTGGGTATTGTCGCAAATAATCAATTCGGTCAAATCACCCCCTATAAACCTGAGGTTATTTTCATTGAATTTCCCTGGTATTTTGTTTTTCTTGGATTGTGTGTCGATTTGACGGCACAGTTGAGTCAAGGAAACTACAAAAGTCAGCTGGAAATCGTGTTTCCAGTTCAAGGAAAATGATCATTGCTTTCTAAACTGCACAAAAATAAGTGAATGTCTACACTAGGTATGGATGGTAAACGGTTGTGTGTCAACGGGTTCATTGTCAGGCAGTGCAATTTTTCCTGGCTGGGTACGAGACAACCAACTCGCTGCTGACTTTCACCGCTTACCTGCTGGCCACCAACCAAGACGTGCAGGAAAAGCTACACGCTGAGATTGACAACCTCGCTCACACGAAAGACAACCTTGGCTATGACGTCATCGCCAAGATGGAGTATTTGGACATGGTCATCAACGAGTCATTGCGCATGTACCCTCCACTTTCTTTGTAAGGAGACGAAGGTTAAATTCCGCTCGACTTTTATGCAATGGAAATTGATCATGGTCAATATTAGGACACCGTCCGATTTATACATCGCTATACTTGTCGTAATCATCCCCGAGCTGAAGTGCACCCCCAATCGGCGAAAGAAAGACATGTGGTTACAAGCGGGTTCGTGCACGCGTTCTGCAAGAACCCGCTTGTATCCACATGTTTTCTTCAAATATGCAGGAATAAATTAGTTACGCGTCCTCAGCGTGCTTCGCGTCAAACGTGCATATACTTGCGCGCGTCATGGCGAGTGGTGAGCACAGATGCGTTCTGTGGTTATTTATGCCTGTGGGTGGTGAGTACCAAAAACACGCCCTCTTTTGTTCTGCTTGGAGCGGATTTCTAGCAGTGTAATTGTTCCACCGGAGAATTACAACATTCTCCGCATTTCGTTGTATTTTGATCTGGTGTTTTGTTGAATGATTTCCTCTCGTAGTACTGACAGACGATGCAACCAAACACTAAACGTCGATGGCCTTGTCATTGAAAAGGGTGTCACTGTGTTCGTAGGCATCTGGAACCTTCATCACAATGAGGAATTCTGGACGAATCCAAACAAATTTGATCCTGAAAGGTAATTTATGAGCTAAAAAGATCTACACATAAACTGATGCAAGGTTTGGGATTTCAGTTTCGTCGCTGACATAAGCAGAAAGTTGAGCGACACTTCTTAAAAATACTCACAAAAAAGTCACAAGCAAATGGAAAAAAGAGAAAATAGGGAATATCTTGTATGACACTTTCCAGATGTGACCGCGACAGTTTGAAATATCTCTTGTCGCAAAGTTGAATCTATATAAAACGTCGAATACATATTCAAGTATATCGCATACAAACATTGTTCGCATTTTTGTTCAAACCGGTATATCCAGATTCAGCCCTGAGAACAAGGTGTCCATCAAACCGTTCACCTATCTACCATTTGGCTTTGGACCACGGATCTGTTTTGGTATGCGCTTTGCCTTGATGGAAGGCAAGATGGCGCTTGTACGTGTGATGCAACAGTATCGCTTTGATGTCAGCTCGGAGACCGAGGTAACACAAATTTAATACATCCGTCGTTCACTTATAATAATTATTTTTAGTTTGCGTAATACCTCAGTCAAAAACAGTCCATTAATCCATGATACACATGAACATGCACAATGTACAAACGGCCGATAGGTAAACTTTTACTACAATAATAATAAGAACTAACATCATTGCGTTTATTTTCGTGAATGCTTCTTGCTTCTTTTTTAGATTCCAATTCGTCTCAGTAAGACTGGACTTATTGCGCCGAACAAGTTGATGTTGGATATTGTCCCACGGAAGTAGGTCACTCATCAGCACCAATATGACATGTGGATCTCCAAGCTTCTGCGCTCGCCTAATGTACAGTACAATATTACTGCCCTCCACAATCACGCACAGCGGAGCAATATTTGATGTACCAGACAAGTCACAAGGCACTTTAACTAATCTAGATATATTTGCATGTTTGTCATCTTGCGCGGTAGTGTGTGTGCGTTTAGTTCCAGATTTGAGGATTTTTTCACTTTGTTCATGCTCCTGGTTGCATGGATGGATGCCCCCTTATCTATCAATACCATATTATATGAAATACATAAAATACATGCCTCAGGAAATTTGGTATGAAAAATATTAATTTTGCCAACTTGTTAACTGAAATTGTCTGTACCAAAACAAAACATTATAATCCAGTGAGGAAAAGAGAATGTTAGATTTAAAGGTCTAATATACGTGACAAGTTGTAGTTAATGAATTGTTTATAAAGGGATGATTTATTTTACAGTAAAAGGTTAGAGCATTGTCTGAAATATTTTCCTTTAATATAGGCCTACTCTAAGATGTCAGCTTTGCATAATGTCTGCATAAGTTTTTCTTAATTTCAAGGTGATAATGATAGATTATTTTCTGTTTATAAAAAGCCACCAGTTCGATATTTCAAACAAGCAAGGTCATTCGGGAACAAAGCACGAGCGCGAGTCGGCGTATCCAGTCCAAGCGCAACAACAGAGGGCGTGTTGTTTGGAACCATAGGCTGAGTTCAGGCGGCTTGTTCCCGTATGTTCACGAACATTCGATTTGTTGTTAGTGGGTCGGCTGCTCGAACGCCGGGGAAAAACAAACAAAATGCAACATGGCGGCGTCCATGTACGTTACTCGAGAGTTAAGGCTTGGATGGGTTGATAAACAGGAACATTCATTTCTGTGTTTGGGAAAATAATTAATGTTATTGTTGCAAAACTTCCCATTGTCTGCATTGTCTATGGCTTTGGAAGCCATCTCTCCACTTTTTGCAGCTGTTCAAAAATCAAAAT